TCTGCATACATATGCTGCTGGAACATGGTGCGGTCAGGGTGGTCATTTGTACATACCGTAGCAGAGCTGAGGAGGGAAGAGGATGTAGGACGAAGGAGAGACACAGCATGCCTACCTCCCAGAAGCAGATCATGTGGGTGTCCCTGCTCCTCAGCCACATAACAAAGAGGGGCTCTCAAGGGTGGGAGGTCAACCTGTCTTCTCTCTGCCCTCCAGATTTTTTTGAGACAGGTTCTTGCTATGTTGCCCATGCAGGAGTACAGTGGCACAATCATCGCTCACTCTAGCCTTGAAATCCTGCTCAAGCAGTCCTCCCACCTCATCCTCCTGAGTAGCTGCAACTATAGGCACCTGCCACAATGCCAGGTTAATTTTTAAAATTTTTATTTCTGTGGAGATTGCCCAGGCTGGTCTCAAACTCCTGGCTTCAAGTGATCTGCCCTCCTCTGCTTCCCAAAACAGAGGATTATAGACATGAGCCACTGTGCCCTGCTCTGTCCTCTACCTTTATTTCCCAAAGTGTACTCAAAAATATTCTATTTCCTCTGGGCTAGTCTGTTCCCTAGAGCATAAGGTAATGAAGTAAGAAGAGGCTTGTGTCTGTGCCCACACAGCCTTGATAACTCTGATCCGGGAATGCAATAACGGAAGGAATGTGTGTATAAGAGTGTGTTTGTGTGTGTGTGCACATAGGTGTATGTGAAAGTGTATTGCAGAGGACACACATTTCTTTTCTCTTATGAACAATGTGCTATTGGTATGCATTATTTCCTCATTGCCTTTGAAGGCGTTGAGCCATTTCTTGGGTAAATCACCAGGAGGCTTGAAAGCACAGTGGTTGAGGCTTAAGACAATGCACTCTGGAGCCATGCTCTGTGGATATGAATCCCAGATTTGCCACTTAGTAACCCTATGACCTTGGGTAAGTCAGTTAACTTCCCCAAAAGAGTTCAAAGAGATATGAGGGTGCTGATGACATACTTATGTCTAATTGAAGAGCTTGTGTTGCATTGAAACCCATATTGCTGTGACATCAGTGTCCTAAACTGTGAGATGGGGATAATAATAGAATCCACCCCATAGTTTTTTTGTGAGGAGTAATTGAATTAATTCATGTAAACTACTTGGCACATGATCATGGCTCTGTTCATTTCTATTGTTTTCACAGAGCAGTGACTCAAATACTAAAAATCTCTTTTTGAAGATTTATTCTTACATATCGTGAGGTTTGGAAGAAAGAGAGAAAAAGAAATTAATACCACCACAGCTTGTGTTTCAGCAGAGTAATAGTATTCAACAGATGGCATTGGAGAAAGAAAAAAAAATGATCAAATCAGGGGTAAATGCTCTCCCAAATGGTAGGACAGATTTCGCCCTGAGTCTCATGAGTAAAGTCACATTACGGTAGACAGCTGGGCTTCTGGGTTCAGTGGGGCTGGGCAGCAGCAGCTCTGTGGGTGGGGGAGGGCTTGATTGATCTTGAAGGTACACTAAGGCTGAGAGGTTTCCTTCCTGGAGATGGGGCTGGCTGGCAGGACCCACTTTGATCTCCTGATTTCTTCTCTTTCTCATAGCTCTGTTTCCACCCTGGTACCAGTGTCTTTTGCAAGTTGACTTGTATGAGAATGATTCTCCTTCAGACTGGGATATATCTTAAGTGGCATTCCGAAAGATACTGGAATTGGTGCTGAGATAAGGTTTGGGCTTGGAGGAGTAATGCAAGAGGCTCATGCATGTGTATGTGCACATATGCATGTGTGTGTGTGTGTGTGTGCGCATATGTGTGTGCGTGCACATACAATGTGCATATGGGGCTTTGGGGTGATTGGATAGACAAATGGATGAAGTGGTATTTATCCAGATAGGGAAGCATCTAGGGAAATGAACCTCCTTTAGCTTCCCAATCCTTATTACATTACTCCTTCCTGTATGTGAAGTTCATGAACATCTACTGAAATTTCTGAAAACACAGGCCTAGGTCATGGATTATTATTCCCAATCTTTGCATTGTAACCTTTAAAATGGAGTACAGGTCCTGCTCAGTGCTTGGGCTGTTTGGAGAATGAGATCAGTTTTTATAATTATTTTACCAGATGGGAAGAACTCTTGGACTTTCTCTCATACCATGTCTTTCCCCATGGTGGATTATCTGGCGTCACCCCTGTTCTGCTTCCCCAGCTGTCTGCTTCCCTGGAGCCTGGGCTGGCAAGAGGTGCTTACTGGAAGAGGGTCAGAGGTGTGGGATGAGCGTGAGTGACGTTGCATGACTCTGTGTAGGCAGGGAGAACTTTCCAGAGCTAGAGGAAGATGACTTTTGGATGTACTCTTAAATTTTGTTTTCTTTTCTCTTCCTGTCTATGAAAAATAAAATTTAATGGTATAATCTCATTGCGTAAAGTTGAGAGCTAGAACGAGCAAGGTTAATTTTCAGTTTTGACCTTGGAACTTCAAAGGGAAGAAAGAGATGAGGGAGAGAGAGAGCGTGAGGGGAAAGTGAGAGAGAGAGAGAGAGAGAGAGAGAGAGAGAGAGAGAGAGAAACAGACCATCCCCTTTATCTATCCTTTACACATCCTTTACCCATCCTGGGTTTAGAACCCTTGGGCACAACTTGAGTGTTCTGCTAGTTTGGCTCTACGGGATGGAGAGTGAAGAATGGAGCTCAGCGCTGACTCCTGTGCCAGTGGAGCCTCCCAGGTGACACTTGGCAGCCAGTCTGAGTCATTTGCATTTTCACAGCCAAAGGTCTGCTCCCAAGATGTTCTGTGCAGATATTTAAGTTGCTGAATTCCAAAGAATCCTCAGGGCATTCCTGGCCCCTCCTCTTCCATATGGCCATGGAGCCAACTTTACATTTCCTCATTTATGAAGATGGCATTGTTGGGGGTTAGATGCCTTTGGGAGTTATAGTAATAACAACATCAGGGCCAGTTCTTTTCCTTCCTTCCTTCCTTCCTTCCTTCCTTCCTTCCTTCCTTCCTTCCTTCCTTCCTTCCTTCCTTCCTTCTTCCCTTCCTTCCTCCTTCCCTCCCTCCCTCCTTCCCTCCCTCCCTTTTTCCCTCCCTTCTGTTCCTTTCTCTCCTGGTTCCTTTCCTCCTTCCATCCTTCCTTCTTTTCTTCCCTCTCTCCCTCCTTTACTCCCTCCCTTCTTCCTTTCTTCCTTCTTCCTCCTTCCTTCCCCCCTCTCTCTCCCCTTTCCTCCTTCCCTCTGTTGTTTCTCCTTCTGTCAAGCTTTTGAAATATGTCAATTTCTGGGAGCAAGACAGAGCTCAGTGGCCAGGAATAGCACAGCTCCTGGGCCAGCCTTTGCTGTTCCACTATCAGATGCAGAAGGAGGTGTTCTGGAATGACAAACTTTTCATGTTAAAGTAATGCAATTGTCAGGAACATCAGTAGGTTAGTTTTCTATTGTGGCTATAATAAATCACCACAAATTTAGTGGCTTAAAACAACACCCATTTATTGTCACATAGTTGTGTAGGTCAGAAGCTAGGGTACAGCAGGGCTCAACTGGGTCCTCTGCCTAGAGTCTCCCTGGTGTTGTCAGGGCTGAGTTTCTTCCTGGAAGCTCTGGCAATGACTCTGTTTCCAAGCTCATTCAGGTTGTTGGCTGAGTTCAGTTCCTTGTGGTTGTAGGACTGAGGTCCCCATTTCCTTGGTGGCTGTTGGCTGGGGGCTGGTCATTCTATGGAAGCTCATGCTTTCCACGTGACCTCCTCCAGCAATGGGGAGCCAAGTCTGTCTCATACTTTGACTCTCTCAGGCTTTTCCTTTTTGTCTTCATTTCCTTTCCATCTTCAATGAGAAACTTCATTGCTTGTAGGGGCTCATGGTTATATTGGCCTAACATGGGTAATCCAGGATCACCTCCCTATTTTCAGGACACTGGTTAACAACCTTAATTCCACCTTCAAAGTCCCTTTTGTGATTAAGGTGACATATTTATAGGTTCCAGGAATTAGGATGTGGGCATTTTTAGGGGGAGTATAATTTGGCCGACCATACTCTATAAATAATGTATTGATTATTGGCCACCTGAGGGTAAGTAACTGCTGTGACTTTTGTCAGGGGATCTGCCTAACATTTCCACTAGATTTTGGACAGGGCCAAAGAGAGAAAGTGAGGAAACCTGAAGCTAGAGGCAGGGGTTGGGCATAAGTGACTTTCATCCTCCAGAGGGAAGCACGGGCCTCTTCTGAAGCTCAGAACTTCTAATCTGGACTAGGTTTGTGGGGATCAGAATCCATCTCCTCACTCAGGATGGGGCCATGAAAGCCTGGAGGGGTGATGGGATTTGGCCAAGGTCAATGACCACACCAGAGCTGAAGACTACTGGGGAAGTTTCAGAGCTGAAAGCAGCCACTCTAAAGCCTTTCAGGGTTTTTCAGAACATGGACACATCTCTCAAATCTTTGGCCTTTTTAGCACTTAACCTCTGTGTTAGTTCATTCTCACACCAATAATAAAGACATATCTGAGCCTGGGTAATTAGGAAACAGATTTAATCGACTCACAATTCCACATGGTTGGGAGGCCTCACAGTCATGGCGGAAGGCAGATAAGGAGCAAAGTCACGTCTTACATGCGGCAGGCAAGACAGAGTGTGCAGGAGAACTCCCCTTTATAAAGCCGTCAGGTCCCAGGAGACTTATTCACTAACATGAGAACAGCACAGGAAAAACCCACCCCACGATTCAGTTACCTCTCACTGGATCCCTCCCATGACATATGGAAATTATGGGAGCTACAATTCAAGATGAGATTTGGGTGAGGACACAGCCAAACCATATCAACCTCCAAAGCCAGGTGGATCAACCAGACTGCACAGCCTTGAAAAAATAAATGACTATGGCTTTCTTGGCTTTAGGAAATACAAATTAGCTAACATTATAAGTTGGGACACATATGAACATGACGATGTCTTTCTGTAGCCTGAGGAAAGTTGGTCTTGATGGCCAGCAAGACATATCCTTCTAATACAGTTCTTACAATTTCTTCTTAGGAGTTCCTGGTGTCCTGGTGGCCAGATCTTCTAGTGTCTCCTTGGCATAGCCACGGGCCTCCACGTTGATGGACAGACATGGAGCACATGGGATCAACTGTTCTGACACCTCTGGGAGAGGAAACTTGGAGAAGAATCCCTCCCTTGTGCTCACTCCTCTCTGAGAAAAGGCAGGTGTCCTCCGGGCTAGTGGCTCTATTTTAAATCTGCAGGCAGCAAGCATGTTCCATAGGAGATTGGCTCCTTGTTCAGGGGTTTCATTCTCTTGCCAACTCTGCTCATTCTGGTCTCCTCTTTGTCATAGCCTAGAGGCATCCATCTCCTGGTTGTTTACATAAGACAGAGCAAAGTGCTCTCCAGGCTAAGAATATATCCACCCCCTTCCTTGGGCAATGTGCCTGGGAGGTGAAGAAATTGACTCACTGCATCTCTGACTCTATGAAAAGACAAATATATGAAAAAAAAAACCTACTAGATTAATGAGAGGGGGAGAAAAACCTGAGTATTTTTAGCACATGAGGGCAGAGTTAGCTGCTATGAAGTCCTAGAGGATGGAAGTTTTAATTTAAAATAAGAGCTCTTTATCTTGAATGTTTTAATTAGCAGTAGGGGGCTTTCAAGTGGCAAGTGTGGCACAGAGAGGGTGGGGGACTCTGAAATAAGAAAATGTCCAGTGATAATCTGATCAGTAGCAGTGCAGACTGGTTGGGGGATCTGTCTGTGAAATCCAGGCATGGCTGGTTTTCTTACAAACCAAAAACTTCATGTGATTCCCAGGGTGTGCCTCTGCCAATGCATGTGAAATGCTGGGTCAATAGTCCTGCACTACTTCTGCCTGGATAGACAAAAGCACTGAAACTTGGGCTGCAATTGAACTATGGATATGTGGTAGCCTATGAGAGCTCCTGAATCTTCCATGGGGATCCGAGGCTCCTGCTGCCATTTTTCCCCTGGGAGGAAGCACATCTGCTCCCTGGAGTTCATCACAATGTCCCCTGTTAGGCATGGTGACTACGGATTTGGAGATTTCTGTAGGTGGAGCTGCTGCTGCTGTTGCTTTTAGAAAGATCCCAGCCATTGCCCAAGGTGTTTTCCTGGCTGATAACTAGAGACACAGGTCTAGAGAGAATATGGGGAGATGTTCATGAATGGCCAGTATCACACACTGATGGGGTGGTATGTGCCAGTCAAGGGCTGTAATTTGGGCAATCTGTTTCTGGGAAAAATATTGCTGGTTGCATATCCAATAGCCACTTTTCTTCCCTCTTCCTTGCTGATAGAATCAACCTTTTGCTATAGATATTCAAAATTTGTTTTCAGGTAATATACGTAATAGGGATCACAGGGATCACTGATTTTTGAGCCAGTATTGCCAAAGCGTGAGTCTCAGCTCCATCACTTTAAAACTAAGTGACCTTCGGCAAGTTATTTAACGTCTTAGTGCCTCAGTTTCTTTGTCTGTAAAATGAATGTAATAAAACTACTTCTCTAACTGGTAGCTTTGAAATGAAAACAAGTTAATGCATATACAGTGCTTATGTAGTATCTGGAGCATATAAAGTGCTCAATAAATATTAGTGACTATTCTTTTTTTTTTTTTTTTTTTGAGACAGAGTCTTGCCTGCTGCCTAGGCGAGAGGCAGTGGCGTGATCTCGGCTCACCGCAACCTCTGCCTCCTGAGTTCAAGCAACTCTCCTGCCTCAGCCTCCTGAGTAGCTGAGATTACAAGCATGTGCTAATTTTTGTATTTTTAGTAGAGACAGGGTTTTGCCACGTTGGCCAGGCTGTTCTCGAACTCCTGACCCTAGGTGATCTGCCCGCCTCGGCCTCCCAAAGTGCTAGGATTATAGACATGAGCCACTGCACCCAGCTTAGTGATTATTCTTATTGCTACTACACCCCAGTCTCTGTTGCAGCTTGGGTATGAACACGTTACACATTACTGGCCAACTGGACCTGAGAGGAAGGCTATTGGGAAACTTCTGGGCCACATACAAGAGGACATGGACAGTACTTATTTTGGCTGTTCATGGTCAGGTCTCTATGTGATGCTTGAAACTGCAGAAGCAATTCCAGCCCTGGGATAGTTGACTTTGATATTTTGTTAATTGAGATAATACATTGTCCTCCTACCATTTACAGTCAAAACCATCCTAACTGATGTACCTAGTAATGGCACAGAGGCCTTGCTAGTTATGTTGCATTCCAGCCATGTGTGGCAGTAAATTTATTTGATGGCATTGTTAGGATGGTTCTTTGCGTTAAAATATTTTGAAATGTTTTGGAAGTGTAATATGTTTACATAGTAAAACATCAAAAGAATAAAAAGTCTTACAGTGAAAAATCTCCTTTTCACATTGGACATTCATGTTGCCTTTTTCCAGGCCCCAATAGCCAGTTAACCACTGCTTTTAGTCTTTTACTTACCCTTTGAGAAATTTGGAAAATAAATACGGCTGGGTGTGGGGACTCATGCCTGATATTTCAGAACCTTGGGAGGCCAAGGTGGGCAGATTGCTTAAGCCCAGGAGTTTGAGACCAGCCTGGGCAATGTGGGGAAAACCTCATCTCTACAAAAAATACAGAAATTAGTTGGATGTGGTGCTGTGCACCTGTAGTCCCAGTCACTGGGGAGGCTGAGCTGGGAGGATCACTTGAGCCTGGGAGGTCAAGGCTGCAGTAAGCTGTGATTGTACCACTGCACTCAGCCTGGGTGACAGCGTGAGATCTTATCTTAAAAAAAAATCTATCTATCTATATTTATAATACATATAATACATATTTATAATACAAATATTTATTTTTCCCTCTTTTCTAATGTAAATATTAGCATGCTCTACGCATGATTCTATACCTTACTTTTTTCACTTAACATATCTTAGAGAGCTTTCCATATCAATATGTAAAGTGCTTTCTTAGTTATTTTTACTGTTACACAATACTCCACTGAATTTATTTAACCAGTCCTTTCCTGACAAGTATCCAGGTTCCTTCTGATCTTTCGCTGTTGACTGCAATGCTGCAATCAATAGATGGTATACATGCCGTTTTGTAGATATGTAAATATATCTGTAGGGTAAATTCCCCCAAAGTGTAGTTGCTGAATCCAAGAGCACATACATTTGTAATTTTGATAGCTCTTGCTAAGTGCAACCCTCTGTATGGGTTGTATAAATTTATGCTCCCACCAGCAAGGTATGAAAGTCCCTATGTCGCACAGACTTGACAACAGAACATGCTATCGAATTTTGGATTTTTGCCAAATTTACAGTGAAATATAATACCTTAGGTAGTTTTAATTTTCATGCTTCTTATTATGGGTAAAGTACCATTAAATATATTTAAGAATAATTTGCGTATTCTTTGAATTGTCTTGTTTACAATATTTGTCCATTTTTCTGGTGGGTTATTGGTCTTTTTCTATCCATTTCTAGACCTTTCTATATATTAGAAAAATTATTCTGTCTATGATTAGTTATAATTGTGTTTCCCAGTTTGACTTTATTATTATTATTATTATTATTATTGTGAAGTTTACTTTTGTCATGCAAAGGTTTAAACAAATTTTTTATGTAGTTGAATTTATCTTTTTTGTAGTTTTGGATTTGGGGTTAGATAAAAAGTCCTCCACATTCTGAGATTATGAAAAATTATCCCATCTATTTATTTACTACATTTGTTGATTTTTTTAATATTAAAGATTTGGTTCATTTGGTATACATCATGGAACACAGAGTGATAAATGAGTCCAACATTAATATTTCCCAGGTAGCTACCTTGTTGCCCCACCACTATTAAATAGTTGTTTGCACTACTCATTTGCCATTTCTTTTTTTTTTTTTTTTTAATTTTTTATTGCATTTTAGGTTTTGGGGTACATCTGCAGAACATGCAAGACAGTTGCATAGGTACACACATGGCAGTGTGTTTTGCTTCCTTTCTCCCCTTCACCCACATTTGGCATTTCTCCCCAGGCTATCGCTCCCCAGCTCCCCCCCCGCTGGCCCTCCCCTTTTCTCCCCAATAGACCCCAGTGTTTAGTACTCCCCTCCCTGTGTCCATGTGTTCTCATTTTTCATCACCCGCCTATGAGTGAGAATATGCGGTATTTCATTTTCTGTTCTTGGGTCAGTTTGCTGAGAATGATGTTCTCCAGATTCATCCATGTCCCTACAAACAACACGAACTCATCATTTCTGATTGCTGCATAATATTCCATGGTGTATATGTGCCACATTTTCCCAATCCAGTCTATCATCAATGGGCATTTGGGTTGGTTCCAGGTCTTTGCTATTGTAAACAGTGCTGCAATGAACATTCGTGTGCATGTGTCCTTATAGTAGAACGATTTATAGTCCTTTGGATATATACCCAGTAATGGGATTGCTGGGTCAAATGGAATTTCTATTTCTAAGGCCTTGAGGAATTGCCACACTGTCTTCCACAATGGTTGGATTAATTTACACTCCCACCAACAGTGTAAAAGTGTTCCTTTTTCTCCACATCCTCTGCAGCATCTGTTGTCTCCAGATTTTTTTAATGATCGCCATTCTAACTGGCATGAGATGGTATCTCAATGTGGTTTTGATTTGCATCTCTCTGATGACCAGTGACGATGAGCATTTTTTCATATGATTGTTGGTCTCATATATGTCTTCTTTCATAAAGTGTCTGTTCATATCCTTTGCCCATTTTTGAATGGGCTTGTTTGTTTTTTTCTTGTAAATCTATTTGAGTTCTTTGTAAATTCTGGATATCAGCCCTTTGTCAGATGGGGAAACTGCAAAATTTTTTTCCCATTCTGTTGGTTGCCTATTCACTCTAGTGACTGTTTCTTTTGCTGTGCAGAAGCTGTGGAGTTTCATTAGGTCCCATTTGTCTATTTTGGCTTTTGTTGCCAATGCTTTTGGTGTTTTGTTCATGAAGTCCTTGCCTACTCCTATGTCCTGGATGGTTTTGCCTAGATTTTCTTCTAGGGTTTTTATGGTGCCAGGTCTTATGTTTAAGTCTTTAATCCATCTGGAGTTAATTTTAGTGTAAGGTGTCAGGAAGGGGTCCAGTTTCTGCTTTCTGCACATGGGTAGCCAGTTTTCCCAACACCATTTGTTAAACAGGGAATCCTTTCCCTATTGCTTGTTTTTGTCAGGTTTATCAAAGATTGTATGGTTG